GACTTGAGAAGAGTTCATGTGCTGTCTGACAAATGTAAGCACCTTTGCTTAATAACTCAACATCGAGTGAACAAACCATTTAGTCCAACTGTATATCAGTAATAAACAACGATACCTAAAAGAAACTTTCAAAAGGGAATGACGAGATGCGTAGAAAGACATTTCAGACAGTTGACAGTTAAGTCTGTTTGGAGCTGATGGGTTTTATTTGAAACAAAGAGGGTGAAACTCCCCAAAATAATTCTCTTCGGCAACCCAACAAACCACAAGCGTCTGAATAACTAGCTAGTCGTATAGATCAAACAGAGACACTTTGAATGGGCAAAGAGAATACACAATTCTTAACAAAACTCTTGGTTTCATCGCAGTAATTATACTAACGATATTAATTAAAAACAAGATCATTTTTTATGAAACTGTACTCGGGCTTACTCCAATTCTTAGCAATCAATTTTGTGTCAAAAGGGACTGAAAAATGCAATATGTTGAAGCAGCAATTGATCCTTGTAACCCTAACATCTGATCCCTATGGATCCGGGAGGTGCAGTGTGATGACACAAGATGTGTAAGACATTCCTTATATAGTCTGTACCGTGTAGCATGTATCCACGAGAAAGCTGAAGCTGTGAAATAATGGTGTTTGTACACAAGGAAACCGTTCCCAATACCATCTGTCCCTGACACGGCGATTGGATTTGGACTTATGGATTACTTTTTCCAGGCAGTAAGGTGTAATATAACCCAGCAATGTCGACCTTATGTTGTCATGTACACTTTGATGGTACTCCTTAGCCCACGGTTACCCCAATTTGAAGTTGCCACAACTGCTTCCAATTCCTTTGACTGCAATCCATGGTGGGTAATTTCTCATTAGCGCCATTTGTAGAATCCACTGGACTGTAAACGTGTTCTTCTTCAGTTTGTAGTCCCACATTCTGTTTTCTTCAGTGAAACACTTTTTTGTGGGATTTTGTTTTGTTTTCAGTTTGTTTGAAATTGACTTTTAACGTTTTGTAATGGGCGATGGGGAGGCCAAGTGGTTAAAGCGTCCCCTTCTCAACCGACGACCTGGGAACGACTCCCCTCATGTGAACCTCATGTCTGACGTGCCCCACCCTGACTTTGCTGGAACATTACTAAAGGCGGCCTAATATCCAACTCACTCACTCACTTGACGCTTTATCATTGATTGTCCTGAGGAACGAAATTTCAAGCAACGTTCTATCCACAGTATATTTTTCTGGCTTCAGATGGCTTTCTTTTGATGATTTTGTTAATTATCATTGTGTGTTGTTTTGATCAGTGAAAGGGCGGTTGGGAAGCCTAGTGATTAAAGCCTTCGCTCGTCGCGCCGAAGACCTGGGTTCGATTCCCTTACTGGGTTCAATGTGTGAAGCCTTATTGCTGGACTATTGCTAAAAGCAGCGTAAAACTAAAACTCACTCACTCACTTTTTGTCACTGGGAACTGTCTGGCGTTCCCCCAGTGTTCGAACAGCAGCATATAATTAATGTAATGCAAAGAACGGCCCACATTCAAAGTGACAGACGCTAATGGCCCTCGGTATTCAGCCGGAACATTTCGTTCAAGGAAATAAGTCCTCCCGGACTGGTCCCTCCACAAACAGGCATACATCACCAGGCCCTTATTACTATTGTTGTCATTAGTTATGCTGTTGATGTTCACGGCTAAACATTTCTAATCTTAAAGTTGTTGTCGTCAGAGTTGGAATTCGTCAGTAGTACACATCAAGTCTTTGGAGTTGAAAAGGCTTTTGTTAAAGGGTTCTTGTGTGTTTAACTCATTTAGTATGCAGAGAATCTGCAGAGGTTTACGCACTACTGACGATGTCGAAGATTTATGCTGTTCATTTTGTTTTCATGGACGCGGCTCTTCTATAACTTCTTTTTAGCAGTTGGAGAGTCAGATAAGGACAACGTTAAACTTACTTATTCAGGTGATAAGGCGTTGGAGTTCTTGAGATGAATTTAGAAGTTGGTATTCAAGTAGAAGGCAAATATTATACAGAATATTTGCCTTTTACTACAGAAGGCGATTCAATACATATTATTGTATCGTTGTCAAGCGTTGTTGAATCTATATCGAAACATAGCATCACCTGAATCAAGAAGTTGTTTATCCATAAAGTTGGTCCTTATCTAGCAGCTCATGGAGTATTTAGGGACCGTTCATAATTAATGGCAAGGGTGTGTGTGTTGTGTGTGTTGTGTGTGTTTGTGTGTGTGTGTGTGTGTGTGTGTGTGAGATGATGATTTTTATGGAGAAGCATGTACAATGTGAATGACCCCCCTAAATGTTATGTACACATTAAGTGACTCCCCTGTATGTCATGTACAAAATCAATGACCTCCCCTTCTCATAATTTCTAAGCATAATTTTAAACTTACCTTTATGTACAGAATTGATGCCCCCCCCCCACCCACACACACACCCCTAGCTCCCCAGAACAAAATGGGTGACCCCCCTTAAAATCATCCTCAAACACCCCCCCCAAAGCCATAAATTATGGACAGTCCCTTATCTGTGAAGCATCTGATGATAGAGGCAATTTGAAGATGAACTAAGGCTCTTCTTATGGAACAGTATCAGTAATTTCTTTGAGTGGCATTTTAGAAGTTGGGAAGTACAATATAGATCAAACTTTATGGATAACAACTTCTTTTTATTTCGTGAGTGCGACGTTTCGATACAGATTCTTGTACCGTTGTCAAGCATAATGGGACATGAAGAAGGGGGAAGTGTATATATACTGGATGTAACAATGTAACAAAGAAACAACATAATTAACATAATTGGCTAGGCAGAAGGCTGATGAAGCCAGAGAGTAGACAAAGGACAGGCGTAGAAGCCAATGATGTACAAATGATAATGACATGTTTATACAGCAGTGAGTTTATACAGTAGATTGGGCTTGGTGGATGAGTGCATCATAAGCGGATGGAATGAAGTATCCTTGGTCTCGGTTGATGGTGGGCTTTTGGCGTTTGATGTGGATGGCTTCGGTGAGCTTGCGTTTAGTGAAGTCTGTTTGTTTGTTAGAGAGAATGGTGATGTCAGACCACTCTATTTGATGATTGGGGCTTGCTTTGATGTGGTCGGAAATGGCTGATTTGCTGTCGGAATTGGTAACAGAGGTCTGATGTTCTTTCACTCGGGTGTTGATGGGTCGGGAAGTTTCAACACCATGGTAGACAATCTGCTAGATGACACCGCCACGTACAAGAAGATCAATAAGGATCCTACTACTAAGCTGAATCGTCAGCACAAGTCCACCCTAAAACTACTGCATGATAAATTTGAACTCTCTACAGATCTCTATCGCAAGCTATCAGTATCCCATCCTCAACCACCCTATGCCCGAGCAACTGTCAAGATCCATAAGAATCCTGTGAAAACCCGTCTACTAGTCTGCTCCCGTGATACAGTGTTTTACAATACTGCCCAGCACCTTACCAAAGTACTCGCCCCTTTAGGTAAATCTGCCAATTCCTTCATCAACGACTCAACAGACTTCTGCAGCAAGATCCGTGAAATCTCCAATCGAGGTTCCATCATCAGCTACGATGTTGTGGACCTATTTACTAATGCACCAAGAGAAGAAGCGCTCCAAGCCTTACGCCACAGAATTGATAAACTTCAACAACCCCTCAACACCAGCCTCTCAACCGACTCCATCATCAGTCTCACCTCAACCTGCATCAACTCCACTTACTTCACCTGGGGGGACGAGATCTATGAACAAATTTATGGACTTCCCATGGGCTCCCCCTTATCCCCCATCCTAACCGAAATTTACATGACGGACCTGGAAGATAAAGCACTGGATACTGCACCCTTCAAACCCACATGTTGGTATCGCAAAGTGGATGATACCTTCGTCATCCTCCAACCTCAGCAAGATCCCACTCAGCTTCTCACCCATCTCAACAACCAACATCCCCGCATCAAGTTTACCATGGAAACCGAGCAGAACCAGCAACTACCTTTCCTTGACGTCCTTGTGTCCCGCACTTCCAGCAACCAACTCCAGACCACTGTATACAGAAAACCCACCCATACGGATCAGTATATCCACTACAACTCCAACCATCCACCTAAAGTTAAGACCGGCATCATCTCCACACTAACCAGAAGGGCCAAGAACATCTGCTCAACTAAACTACAAGATGAAATCGAACACCTCAAGAAAGTCTTCGTAGAACGCAACCACTTTCCATCCCAAATAGTCAACAGAACCATCGCTGCCACCCTGTCACCCCCTACCAAAAGACCCAAACAAGATTTAGCCCCCATCAAGATATCCATCCCCTACATTGGCAAACCGTCACATCAAATCAGCCGCCTCCTGAAAGATCAAGCTGGCAAATAAACTGTGATTGTGGGCAGAGCTACATAGGCGAAACTTCCCGACCCATCAACACCCGAGTGAAAGAACATCAGACCTCTGTTACCAATTCCGACAGCAAATCAGCCATTTCCGACCACATCAAAGCAAGCCCCAATCATCAAATAGAGTGGTCTGACACCACCATTCTCTCTAACAAACAAACAGACTTCACTAAACGCAAGCTCACCGAAGCCATCCACATCAAACGCCAAAAGCCCACCATCAACCGAGACCAAGGATACTTCATTCCATCCGCTTATGATGCACTCATCCACCAAGCCCAATCTACTGTATAAACTCACTGCTGTATAAACATGTCATTATCATTTGTACATCATTGGCTTCTACGCCTGTCCTTTGTCTACTCTCTGGCTTCATCAGCCTTCTGCCTAGCCAATTATGTTAATTATGTTGTTTCTTTGTTACATTGTTACATCCAGTATATATACACTTCCCCCTTCTTCATGTCCCATTATGCTTGACAACGGTACAAGAATCTGTATCGAAACGTCGCACTCACGAATAAAAAGAAGTTGTTATCCATAAAGTTTGTTCTATATAGTATCAGTAATGACAACAGCGAAGAAAGAAATCAATGCCGTGTAGTGCATGTACTGTATTCTCCAAACAAATGGTGACAAATAACAGTATACATTCTCAATGTGAAAAGTTTGCAATCACGAATCTTGAACACCAAGTGCATTGTTAACCGCGGGGAATACCAATTATCATGACACAAGAATAGTCAATGTAAAATGGAGATGACTTCTCCAGATCTAATACATTATCCTCGTTTCATTACTGCGAACTCACACACAATTACAGTGTAGTGATTTACCTATCCCCCTTTGTGTCAATATATACAGGTATATACGTAAGCTGTTGGGGGTACGAAGTACAGTCACCACAACTTCAACCTATTGGCGACACTAATGAAGGGCCACTACACTTAAAGCGACTGTATGGTTGAATATGCAATCACATCAGCCTACAGCTGTTTGTAAGTAGTCACCTCGCTTAAAGCCAATGTCGCGGCATTAATACTGAAAGGGCTGTAACTTCAACCTGAAATGGGGCGGTGTGGTAGCCTAATGGTTAAAGCGTTGGTAACGCCGGAGGCCCGGGTTCGATTCCCCACATGGGTACAATGTGTGAAGCCAATTCCTGGTAACCCCCCGCCGTGATATTTCTGGAATATTGCTAAAAGCGGCATAAAACCACTCACTCACTCACTCAACCTGAAAAGGGAAATAATATCAACTATATGTCTTCCTTATTGGCTACCGTTTCTGTGCTGTTTTCATAAATAATGGATTTGAACAGCAAGTTGACTAGACACGAAACACACGTTGTGTGACATAATGCAGCGTTTGTCGAAAACTAAACCCAAACCAATGTTATTAGCTATCAGTTTTCCAGGTATACAAGAAAACAATATACTTGCTTGCTCAATAGATATTTACAATGTCACTGTTCCTGTTTTCTTATACATGAACAGCACCTTCATAACTTTTTTCATGACTGTTGGTGGGAGAGGATACCCGGTGCCGTCAAGCATTAAAAGAGTACACATGTCCCCAGAAAAGGAATAGTGAGAGCACTCGGGTGACACGAGACACGCGTACAGACACTCGACACTTGCCGACACCTTCTGAATGGAAACCGAGCGTCCCTTCAGCCCGGCCGTGGAGACTTCGGAGAACTTCATGCCCACTGCGCAGCCAGACGTGTGGAGAGCGAGGTCGTACTTGATGCTAGGGGGCATTGCTGGAACATGGAGAGAAAATAATATCCATCATTTCGGGAATTGTCCTTTAAGCTTACACCACGGTACAGGCATTGAAGAATGTTGTTACTATTTTTTATGTTTCGAGGCATCAAATATTAAAAGAGTATATCTTTGCACTCAACTAAAACGACACTTTTGCAGGAACTGATGTCATCCTAGATGGCTCATGTGTATTGCCATGATTGGAAATAGGAAAAGTACAGGTATGAAAAGACGTTTTGGGTTCAGTCACATATTTCTCACAGACACGATAATTATGTCCTACTCGAGACGATAGTCACTTTGTCAGATCGACGAGACAAGCATTTAATTTGACTAAAACTATCCAATATCCTCACTTTGCCATGTTGCATGGAACCCTGTGCTCGTGGCGCCATAATCCGCCTTGAATTCTGCCCTGAAGGAGGAGGATGGTCCGAACTGATGGAACGCTGCACTTACTGTCAGATTGGCCAAAGACTTTCCATCACCATCCGTTACCTGTAGAAAGTAGTCAAGCTCTGAACTCAGCTGCAGAGTCTCTTTTTGGGTATCGCTCGGGAGACTCGAAATTCATATCAATACCGGCTCGAGATATGGCAGAATTAGAATAATTGCTCAGTTCAACATATACGCAACAGAACGAACATCTCCATTGTACGACTCTGACAATATCATGAGTTTATGAATCAGTATCACATAGTGATGATAGAGGCTATTTGGGGAAAGGAAAGCGTTTCCTGCCCCACACCACCCCCGCCACAAGCTCATGCAAAGATAACTGCAAGGCAATAGAGAGAAACTCATATTGTATGATTATGTATCTAAAGAAACCCACGATGGGCTATACAACCAACTAAAAATACTAAAACAGGGAGTTGATGACATGTAAAGGTGTGATGACGATAAATGTTCGTGAACTGAATTTCGGATCCGTCAATCAATGTCTGATGTTACCCCTGGTATTGACCGCCACTCTGTTGAAAGACCTACAAGTCTGACGTGTGCTGATTCCCCGGAGTGCACTTTTGGGGACATGTCGGGGGATTAGACAGTCCAAAGTCTGTGTGCCATCTAGCAGAGATAATACATAACGATCAAAGACGGTTTCTTTAAACTTTACGGTCCTATTAATGTGCGGAATTCTCTTGTGATGGAGCGGAGCGGCTTTGAACCTATTGCGTCTTGAATTTGCTAAGAAGCGATCCTGTGTCGACGTCGTTTGTTTCGGCCTGACACACCCAGGTCGCATAGCAACCTCGCCCGTTTCACGGCCCTGTCTCACAGCGGAGCTATTACACTTATGTATTTACCAAACATTCGTGCACTTAGGACATCGACGTCCCCTCTATCGAAACCAACAATTCGCCATTTGTGGCTTGGTTCTCAGCAGCTCATGCTTGTCGTAAGAGGCGACTACTGGGTTCGGGTGGTCAGACTCCGTTGACTTAGTTGACATCGAATTCTAAACAAACATAACAATTCTCTCATTTACATACATGATGTCGTTGAGTACAAAGTGGAGGGCATCGACATGTACCCGCACGACTTATTTTAGTGACGGGCATCAACATTTACCTGTAGGACGTCGTTGAGTATTTTGGCATTTACACTAAGAACGTAGACAGCGACGTTCGGAGTGTCAACATTTTACTAGAGCACGTATTTGTCAGGTAAGTTAGGTGGGTTGACGTTTACCTTTATCACGTCGTTGTCAGCCAAGCTGAGGGTGTTGATAGTCAGCAGGATAACGCTGCCACTGGTCGGGGTGATCGTGTAGATGCAGTGAGCCAGTTTGTGGTAGTGATTGGGGTAGTAAGGTGAGCTAAATGTACCAGAGTCGCTCGTCCAGTCCCCACCGCATTCTGAGAACAAGATGTATAATTATAATGGCAGTATTCGTGGGCAGCTCTGATTGTATCTCTTCGCGTACAATGTATAAATATCATCTGAAACCTATCTCCCTCCCATTGAGACCATGGACATAGACTGCCTGAAACCTATGTTCTATGAACACAGACTATCTGAAATCTATGTTCCATGAACATAAAATGTCTGAAACCTATGTTCCTGCTCTTGAGACCACAAACAGAGACCTATCTTGCTGCTCCTCAGATCATGTTTTTTTGAAGCTGAACGATCCATTAAACACATAGCTTTTGACCTTTGATACAATAAGTCTTTAAGTTCAATTAAAGTTGGCTGATTCTCCGTGGAAGTCTACATTCCAAGACGTGCTCACTGTTTCTAAAGGCAAACATTCAGATATGGGTAGAATTCTTGCCAGGGTGAGGCTACTTGCTGCAGACCATGGTGGTAATACATGTACACAACTTGTAATATGCTCCGACTGTCAAGGAAACTATGTGTCAATTTCAACTGACTGCAGTCAATATATTAGTCCATTGTACACCAAATCGACTCCCCAAAACGTCAGCAAAAGACCAGCTTAACTGATATTAATAAAGTAGAAAACCTAATCACATCTGCAAGTACAACAGGACACCTTGTGCCTTGTTAGTGAAATCAGTTCAAACGGTACAAACAGTATTAAAAACTGTTTTTAGGCTGTTACTCTGTATCCCTAAAATTGACAAATTGACAAATAGCATATATCGAAATAACCCACATCGGCCTAACTGGGCATTCAGTGGGATGCGTGATAGGATATCCAGAAAAGCATGTTTACTCGTAAAATCGGGCAAAACTTAGAAAAAATACGAATAGCTGCTCAGAAGAATAGATCGGACTTTATATGGCAATTGGGTCGCTCAGTCAGGTATGACGACGGACCGTCGACTCACCAGGCATAAAATGCACGTCCTGCCTACATGCATAAGGGGTCATCTCAAAGATAGTTTATGCTTTTTCATGTGGGTTGAATATGTCTCATCTATTGATCATAAAGTTTATGTTGAGATACCTAACAGGGTATGATACCCATGGAAAAGCTTAAATCAGCCATCGTATTAAATGTCTCAAAATATATAGGTGGCATGACCACCCGAAGATCGACAGGACTGGATATTATTTCTAAATTGTTATGACATGCCGTTTGCTTCCCAGTTTATTCCCCCAAAGGATTATGGTATCTCAGCTTATATCTCTATCCCCAAGCTCGACACCAAGCACCGACACCCGTCATGGATTTGCTTTTGAGACGACCCCTTCTACCAGTTTCTTTTTATAGTGATTGTGCATCTCCATGGCTGCTTACATCCTTCATAGTTTCAGTATTAAAGTTATTATTTTTTACGTCAGCTATCGTTTATAATGAAGCTAAGTTTAATTTCAAAGTGGACATTTAAAAATTGTCCTTTGTAATATAATATCATCACACACTTATTTGCATAAAGCCATGGCCTGTTCCAAATAAGTTTCTTTTCGTATTTCTTGCCCTAATCTCTCCTCAGTAAAGTCCTTTTTCTACGTTTCCTATCTCCCTACCACTGAGACTGTAGTTAGGCCGAACTTAGTTTAACAGATATTTCACACATACATATATTAACTAGACATAAATTGTAGATATCAATGCGAAAAAAAAGTTTGTTCTATTTCCGACAATACTTTAGTACGGTGTCAGACAGATCTATAATGGAAAATTAAAGACGCCAATGTTTCAGAAATTGAAAACATTTCCAGCATCATCCACAGCAAAAGAAAGGAGGAGGATATTCCTCCCCATAGGACCTGTGATCACACAAGAGGCCACTCCCCCCCCCCCCAAAAAAAAAAAAAAAAAGAAAAAAAAAAGTCTATCCACCTAACTGACTGATACACAGATTAACATCAGCGGAGAGGTGATTGTGTAATATGCTCTTGCAGCTACTTCTCACCCCTGTATAGCCATCCACACATATTGACAACTACTTCCCAAGAAGCCTTCATCCTTTTCTATTTCCATAGCGCTAGCCCATCAATAACTGACTGTTACAAAAATTAGCATCAGTGGAACTGATAACTTTTTTTATGCCAAATTGCCGCTACTGCAAGTTCTGAGACCTGATCGTCAGCGATCTTTGCTTGTTGTGAGATGCGATTTCCGATATGGGTTGATAAGGCTTGCTGACTTGTTTGATGTGTGTCATCGTATACCAGTTGCGTAGATATATACTCATGATGTTAATCACCGGCTTGTGTCGTCCAGACCACCGTCACATGGCTAGGTCACTTGTTGAGGGCGGTACTAAACAAACTACTTGTGACTTACCGACCCACGATGCCTTGAATCCAGTGTGGACATATGGGCTTTTTCTGGTTAAGCTGGCCACGTAACTGGTCGACGCAGGATCCACGCTGTAACCTCGTTTTCCTGTTTGCCTCGATACCACGACTTGGGATGAGTTCTTAACCTGTAGTTACGAAGCAAAGTGTGTGAATTTTTGTTTAATGCCGCTTCATTCAGGTTATATTACGGTATGTTAGTCATCTGTGGAGGAGAGCCTTATTACCTCTAAGGTAAAACCCGGGTTTGTACCTGGCAAACCTAGAAACGTACTCGGGGCGAACTGGGATTCGAACCCATGATAATACTAACTGACTGACTGAGTTTGGTTTTACGCCGCTTTTAGCAATATTCCGGCAACATCACGGCGGGGGACACCAGAAATGGGCTTCACCCATGATAATAGGTTGCTGGTACGGCAAATGGAGGCAACTGTGTACAGCGAGTTGTGGCACCGTGGACTTCATGTACAGCCACGCTGCTTTGAACAGTATGTTATTTACTGAGCGTATGCTTCATGTGGAAGGGAAACCCGAAGTGATAATACTACTCAATTTTTACCAGTTACATGTACATAAAATTGATCAATCCCTTTGCCCATCCCTATGAAATCGCTGCTATAAGCTGTGTCCACTAGAACTTTCCGAATCAACGATGTTATATATTCGGAAAAAGGTAGGGGAACCTGAACTTCAATTGTTGACAGGAAGTGTAAGCGTTAACAAACTTTTCAGACAGGCATTTTATGAACGCCCCACCATTTCTCTTTATCACCACCTCTAAACACAACGCATGGGATGCACGTGCACAACGCAGTAGCCCCATACACGTGCATAGGATGTCAATCTTGATTTTGAAGAATATTTCGCTCATATGACGACGTGCATGTCGTCAATCACATGCAGTTAAGCATGAATACCCCACTCAGACACATTATACACACTCCGAGCCGACCAGTCCTTGTTGTACCCATAAGGAAGGGACCAACAAGTGTTGCCCTGGCAAAATTAACGTCTTTTGGCATGACGTCGCCGGGGATCGAACCCGCGACCTTCCGCTCTCTGGGCGGACGCTCTAACCACTACACCACGCGTACAGGGGCGTTTTTCAAGAAGTAAGTTAAATAAGTGTAGACCATTAATTTTGACAATCATCTTGCATCACACAGTTGTTAGCGTTTGTTTTTGTTTTAAAATGACAATCGAACACATGCAAGTTTCACGTCATACACCAACGATCTTTCAAGAGCGATTACTGAACAAACAACTATGGTCATAAGGAAGTGCAAGGGTTCTATGCCAAAACTTCCACATCCCAAAACATCCACATCCCAATACTACCACACATTGTTAAAACGACATTACCAGATCACAGACAACCACACCCCACATTATCCTATCCCAACCAACCATAACTCACCGGAGTCACTCCATCCACAGATCGTAACACCCTAACGTTTAAGTTGACGAAAAACAACAAACTGAAACGAATGACAAAAAACCACACGTCTACTTACCTCCAACGTATCATAGTAGGAGATAACCATGAGGTCGTACTTTAGTTGAATCTTCTGTCCGGTAGAGGGCGGTGTCACGTAGTACCAGCATGTCGGGCCGCTGGGGTAGGCGTACGGGTACCCCGGAGACGTCATGGTGCCTCGGAAAGACGCCCATGTTCCACCACAAGCTATCAGAACAATGCATGCACAAGACAAAGGTGATGCTAAATAACAAGTAGCGGGGAAGCGAGGTTGATGTTGAGCATCGGCTTTATATATATGCAAATGTGGGTACAGCGTGTATAAAGTTTCAATGATAACCTTTACTGAAGAGGAACACTTTAAGGATTGACAACTTCTTTATTTTCATTTATAGCATCTACCCCCAAAGCCGTTTTGGTGTTCCTCTTCATCATACCAGCTTCTCAATAATCTTCAGTGTGGTAGCGTGGTGTGAGAGGCTAATTCTAATAATCTATTCTAGACATTACCACGGAAATATAATAATATTTTCTCCGGTTTGACGCCTTGTATGAATGGCCAGAAACTAATTAGTCTCGATTATCTGCCCAAAGAGTCTGCATTGGTCACAAGGAATGGATCACTGGCAAACAGAGGCGACACCATGAGTTGGTGCTGGACATGGTGAATGTTCTCAACAAACTGTGTTGTGCGGGCGTTCCTGCGAAAACTACCATACAATGGAACACATTTAAACAGAAACAGCCCCACCTATTTGAACGTCTTTTGGTATGATGCAGTCGGGGACCGAACCCGCGACCTTCCGCTCTCCTGGCGGACGCTCTAACCACTACACCACGCGTACGAGAGCGTTTTTCAATAAGGTAGCTAAATAGGTGTAGACCATTAATTTTGACAGTCATCTTGCATCACACAGTTGTTAGTGTTCGTTTTTGTTTGAAAATGAAAATCGTACACATAATACACCAATAGCGGCCCTCACATGTTTGAGTGATTCGATTTTTCGAATGCAAACTTTATGAAGACAGTATCCATGTTTGTAATTAATGTGGGAAGTTTAAGTATGTCAGTTGTAGTATATTGTAATAGCTATAAACTAACTTACTTTGGTAGGCTTGTCGTAGGTCTGTGTAAAGGTGACAGCGCTGACTTAAACATATGTTACTTCTAATAAAACATCTACTTCAATGCATATACACATTGTGGACAAAACCTCGCATGATGTGCGAACTGATTACTGTGTATGGGATTTCAGACATTGGTGACGTTAGTGGTTAATATGCAATGGTGTCTGTCATTTGCCCGATCCCAGGCGTCATTAAAAACAACGTATCAGATCAAATCAGATCCATATCACCGATATACCAGACTGTCAATGCCAATATTATTTACTAATATGAAATATTCACACCATAAAACCAGCATACACATACGTGAGATTATGGGTACATGCATACGAACAAGGATGCCAAACTCCAGGCATCGCATTGTGACGGCACCATGATGAAAATACCTCGGCCTTTTATATTTCCAATATTCTACTCATTATCATCAAAATCAAACAGACACTTACCATTTATCACATAGAAATATTCAACCATCATCAGATAAATCATCAGAACCAACAACTCCATGATTTCTGTGTAGCTGCTTGATCTATAGGCAATGATTTTGATTGGAATGAAACCAAACCACTGATGTGAAGTACGCACACTTTATACTCTTGAAGAACACTGTTGAATATTTAATGCATTTTACATTCGACGTCATTTGCTGCCTACTATTGTCAAATAACAATGGGGAATTGACAAGTGTTTAAAAGAAAGTGATTTTGGATGCTATATATTTTTAACTGTCGTGTTGCCAAACACCTCATTCTCTGATAGTCATCGTGTGCATGTGTTGTAACACCATGGCGACACCTGAGTCTGGGGCACCTGTGATATAACATCATGACGACACCTCAGTCAGGGGCACCTGTAATATAACATCATGACGACACCTGAGTCAGGGGCAGCTGTGATATAACATCATGACATCTCAGTCAGGGGCACCTGTGACATAACATCATGACGACACCTCAGTCAGGGGCACCTGTGATATAGCATCATGGCGACATCTCAGTCAGGCGCACCTGTGATATAACATCATGACGGCACCTGAGTCTGGGGCACCTGTGATATAACAGGATGGCGACACCTGAGTCAGGGGCACCTGTGATATAACAACATGGCGACACCTCAGTCACGGGCACCTGTGATGTAACATCATGACGACACCTCAGTCAGGGGCACCTGTGATGTAACATCATGACGACACCTCAGTCAGGGACATTTGTGATATAACATCATGGCGACACCTGAGTCAGGGGCACCTGTGATATAACATCATGGCGACACCTCAGTCAGGGGCACCTGCGATGTAACAACATGACGGCATCTCATTCAGGGGGGGCACCTATGATATAACACCTGTGATGTAATATCATGGCGACACCTGAGTCAGGGGCACCTGTGATATAACATCATGGCGACACCTCAGTCAGGGGCACCTTTGATGTAACAACATGACGGCACCTCAGTTAGGGGCACCTGTGATGCAATATCATGACGAGACCTCAGTCAGGGGCACCTGTGATATAACATCATGGCGACACCTCAGTCAGGGGCACCTTTGATGTAACAACATGACGGCACCTCAGTCACGGGCACCTGTGATGCAATATCATGACGAGACCTCAGTCAGGGGCACCTGTGATATAACATCATGGCGACACCTCAGTCAGGGGCACCTGTGATGTAACATCATGACGACACCTCAGTCAGGGACACCTGTGATTATAGGTGGAAGATCTAGACGTGACAGCAATTGATTGCGAAGTTTAGCCTGACCTGTACAAACGTGAAGTAGTACACAAGCTATGGTCTTGAAAGAAAATATACTGAACCGTGAAAGAAACGCCTCACCGATAGAGGTTTCTTAAAGCACATACTTTAATTTGCTATAATCATCAATCAAAACGGAGGATTGAGTTCAAATTTGACACAAATTATGGTTAACATATTTTCGGGAATCACATTTAGAGTTCATACAAACAAAATCCCCCCAAATTGTACCATTAGAATACCTCAAAGTCAGTATTGTGTGTGTCATCCATGGCTATTGATGATAACGACTCTGCGAAATGCCAGATCGAGTAAAACCAGCAGTTGTCAACCTTGGTTGGATGTCATTTAGTCTTTTTTTAATCTCGTCCCAAAGGTGTTCTATTTGACTAAAATCTAGAATGAGTGCAGGTCATTGTAGGATTTGGATGCCATGTCTTAGGAAGTCCAGTGTTGCTCTGGCAGTGTGGACACTAGTATTGTCTTGCTGAAAGATGTGATTTCTGTGACGTTCAAAATGTGGATCAACGTGAGGTCTTATGACTAGGTCAATATGGCGTGCAGCTGTCACACCATTTCCACGTCCTGGACCGGGATTCTGAAACAACTCTCTGGTTTAGAGCGATTGCACCCATTGTTGCACCCATGTTGCCCATTGCCGTCGGGTTTGGCGTTGACGAACGGTGCGGACAGGACCACGATACGGTCAGTGACAACAGAGGTTTTTGATACTGATGTTGGTAATAGCTGTCAATTTTGATTGAAAAACATGTTGGGAAAACGGAACAATCATAATAAAAACATCACCTTGTAAGAAAAAAGGTTTGCATTTGGTTTTGAAAGGTGACGTTTCTTTTGCGGTTAAGTATATGTTGTGAAACCAGAGTGCTATAGTCTTCTGATGAAGAACAATTACGCGTGACCCACGACCATGAACCCAAATGTCTCTGGGATCATCTTGATCGTCAGCTGGAACAGCGTGTACCACCTCCAGCGAAAAGACAAGAACTTGAAAGGACTCTCTTGGACTCGTGCTGACGTCACTCGCCGACTGACGACGTCAATGAAGACTAGTGTTGGCGTGTATGGATGCCCAGGGTGATCACACTCGCTATTATTGACGTGCCCCCCTGACTCCTGTCCCATCATGTGACATTTTATGCACTTTCTGAATGAACTCTGATTGGTGTAATTTTTACTTTTTTAGACCTCTTGACTATTTCTTGATAAAATGCTGCAAATGCAAGACCAGCATTACAATACATTTTCAGTCAAATTATTTGAAAATGATTCAGGTGATCTGTGACTATGTGTCCTCAATTTCAGTGATGTCATTTATGTAGTTATCTGGTTTCCTTGACAGCAGAAGAAAAGAATCGGATAGGGGCGGGGTATCAAGGGAACGTCATCAATGGAATATGAACTCAACTGAACACTTCCTGAGACAAAATGTCTTTCTTAAGGAGTTTTAGTAAGTATGTTTTTACATGAATAATTAGAATACAATTTTATTGAGGGATGGATGTTTGTTGAAATTGACGTCATGGCCGTCAATACCGGAGTTCGTTGACTTAATCATAAATACAATTCTTTCAATAGATATGTGAGGTATGAAATTGCTATGAAATGAAGTACGTAATATAGAGGTAAAAGCAACACGATATAAACATATTCCCGTGCAGTGTCGTAGGTCTTGTTGGTCTGCCACTGAACCATTGTCAATCTTGTGCAAACATTTGCAAATAGGTGGTAACATGTCAGGATGTTTGTCAGGTGTATGGTCATTGAAAGTAATGCTACTGTTAGCTTACCAAGACAGAACACAACTCAGTACCAATAAACACTATGGCAAACCAGCATTCTTTGTGCGTTGTTTTGTTGTCATTGAGCCTCTGTCGATAGCATCCTCGTCAGATACCTCATTTGAAACAGATATCTTATCTATTATATTGATTAGACGACATGCTTGTGTTCTTATTACATAGTGCACCGACGCATGCACATTATATAGTTATTTATTGATTCTATATATCATTCTTACAATGCAAACATGGAGCCTGTAGGGACGATGTTTCCGCGCAACCAGACTTACACGGACTTACTGTACCAATTATCATTATTTCCCAATAGATGCGTCACACTCACATCCAATATGCATGTAATGACAACTGGAATATCCATGAAGGGTGGATGTGGGAGTGGTGTGTGTCGGGGTGGATATCGATGGGGGGTTGGGTGTCAGTGGATGGGTTGTGTTTAGGGTATTGGTGTGGGTGGAGGTGCGGATGTGGATGTGGACGTGGGTGTTGATGTAGGTGTCGTTGGGATTGTTGGTGTCGGTGTTGGGTTGTTAGAATTAACTCCGTGGTGTTCAGGAGAGACCGAGACAAGTGATGTGCGTCTGTTGTTGGGGAGTACGGAACGTCTGTTGTGTTATGGGAAGAGTACGGAGCGTCTGTTGTGTTATGGGGAGAGTACGGGGCACCTGTTTTGTTTTGAGGAGAGTACGGAGCGTCTCCTGTGTTATGTGGAGAGTACGGAATACCTGTTGTGTTATGGGGAGAGTACGGAACGCCTGTTGTGTTATGGGGAAAGTACGGTGCGTCTGTTGTGTTATGTGCAGAGTACGGAGCGTGTGTTGTGTTATGGCGATGGTAGAGAGCGTCTGTTGTGTTATGGGGAGGGTAGGAACGTCTGTTGTGTTATGGGGAGAGTACGGAGCGCCTGTTGTGTTATTGGAAGAGTACGGAGCGTCTGTTGTGTTATGGGGAGGGTACGGAGCGTCTGTTGTGTTATGAGGAGAGTACGGAGCGTCTGTTGCGTCTGTTATGGGGGAGTGGTACGGAGCGTCTGTTGTGTTATGGGGAGAGTACGGAGCGTCTGTTGTGTTATGGGGAGAGTACGGAGCGTCTGTTGTGTTATGGGGAGGAAGTACGGAGCGTCTGTTGTGTTATGGGGAGAGTACGGAGCGTCTGTTGTGTTATGGGGAGAGTACGGAGCGTCTGTTGTGTTATGGGGAGAGTACGATGGTAGAGAGTACGGTGCGTCTGTTGTGTTATGGGGAGAGTACGAAGCGTCTGTCGGGAACGTCTGTTATGTTATGGGGATGATAGAGAGCGTCTGTTGTGTTATGGGGGTAGGAACGTCTGTTGTGTTATGGGGAGATACAGAGCGCCTGTTGTGTTATGGGGAGAGTACGGAGCACCTGTTGTGTTATGTGGAGAGTACGAAGCGTCTGTTGTGTTATGGGGAGGGTACGGAGCGTCTGTTTTGTTATGGGGAGAGTACGGAGAGCCTGTTGTGTTATGGGGAAAGTACGGTTCGTTTGTTGTGTCATGGGGAGAGTACGGAGCGTCTGTTGTGTTATGGGGAAAGTACGGTTCGTTTGTTGTGTCATGGGGAGAGTACGGAGCGTCTGTTGTGTTATGCGGAAAGTACGGTTCGTTGGTTGTGTCACGGGGAGAGTACGGAGCGTCTGTTGTGTTATGGGGAGAGTACGGGGCACCTGGTATGTTATGGGGATTTCAGAAACCATCTGATTTATACCAATATTCACTATGTACTATGTAATTTTCTATTTACGGATTCACACTTCCGTAGCATATGCGGATGTAAAGTTTACAACCGTGAACGTAACATTATCCTTTCACTAGAACTACTTGAGTAACTTGGTTCTCCAATACATGCTGACAGCATATTATATAATAATGGATATTTTCATTATGAAACGTTATTTGCTCAGGCAGAGTGTACATTTGTATTTTTTGACACTGCAAGGAGTGTGTGTACATTTGCGCAGTGAGGATCTTATAATAGGATGTTTTGATGTGTGAATATGTGGATGTACTATACTTCCACCGCTTTACAGCTAAGATCTCTACAGAATTCTGATCTTTTAGCGAGACTGACACTACAGGATCTACTGCATTTACTGTATTCTTCCAGCGGAATATTATTAGTCATTTGAACACTTAATTGATGGTAACTCACTATTTTAGTTGTGTATCAGCTTCGATAATACAATATCTGATATACATCTATCTGATATAATAGAGTTACGCTAAATATACCCACGTAGTTGTATTATAACTAAATACTCCATGTCAATCCTCTTAAAAAGTAAAGAGTGTACCAAAGAAACCACAAATTTTCTTGGTTTTCAGAAGCTGGAAGCACCTTTTATACCCACAATTTTGAAATGTTTTAAATTTTGTTATCCACAAAGCATGTTACTGACATATACACTTTCACAAATCCCATTCTATACCATTGTTACGACTACAAACCATTTGAATTAGAGATACTCCACATCTTTGAAAATGGCTGAATAGGAAAAAAATTAAGATTATGTCTTTAAACTGTAGGGGCTTAAACAATTTGTTTAAAAGAAACAAGGTGTTCCGCTTTTTACAAAAACAAAAGCCCACATATATTGCTAACAAGATGTACACTTTACTAAAGAACAAGAACAAATCATTAAACAACGATGGGGCTACAATCAATGCTACATGACATCGTTTAAAAGTAATGCTAGAGGGACAACTGTTTTATTTAATAATAACTTAATAAGATGTGGTTGCTGATAATGAGTCCGGAAATTATGTAATATTAAAAGTAAATATATGTGAAAAAGTCTACACAATAGCAAGCATATATGGCCCAAACCAAGATACGCCAGAATTTTACAATACAATTAAAGATCATGCGGACTGACTGACTGACTGAGTTTGGTTTTACGCCGCTGTTAGCAATATTCCAGCAATATCACGGCGGGGGACACCAGAAATGGGCTTCACTCATTGTACCCATGTGGGGGATTCGAACCCGGGTCTTCGGCGTGACGAGCCAACGCTTTAACCACTAGACTACCCCACCGCCCAAAGATCATGTGGAAGGCCTAGGAGGAACACAAACTATTTTATGCGGAGACTGGAATTTAGTACAAGACCCTAGAAAAGATACTTTCAACTATAAAAATATTAACAACCCAAAGGCCAGAGAAAAAATTATAGATCTGATATACGTTTTAGATTTAAAAGATCCATGGAGAGAAACAAAACCCTTCGAGAAAGGATTTACCTGGCGTCAACCTACTCCAATTAAACAAGCTCGACTAGATTATTTTCTGATCTCTCATAGTTTATTACAGAATGTTATCAAGTGTGACATAAGTCCAAGCATAGATTCAGATCATTCAATTACAAGATCCAAAGTATGTACAATTAGTCAAGGAAACTGTTATAAGAGCACGTTGAACAAATATAACACAAAAACAGAAGACCAAATTCCAAAATACCAAATTAATGATCAACTTCTATGGGAAATGATTCTTATGGAAATCAGAGGATTAACAATTTACTATACATCAAGAAAGAGGAAAAAGGATAAGAGCAGAATCAATGAACTATATGGAAACATTATTGCATGATTTAGAGATAGAACTGGATAACAATGACAGTTTACAGGTCAAAGAAGAAATTTTAAAAAGAATAAATGATACAAAAACTGAACTTAACGAATTTGAAACAAATAAAACAAAGGGAGCATTTATTAGATCAAAAGCAAAATGGACAGAACAGGGAGAAAAACCAAGTAGATACTTTTTAAACTTCGAATTTAGAAATTTTCTAAACTTGTCTATATCAAAAATTAAAATACCCGATGGATCAACCATTAAAGATCAAGAAGAAATACTAAAAAACACCCCAAAGCTTTTATATTTATTTTTATAAAAATGAAAACTGCACACAAATTAATCTTGATTCTTTGTTAAACAAATACAATATATCAAAACCGAATGAGGACAGTGCCGCAACTTTAGAGGGAGAACTAACATATGAGGAAACCCTAGAAGCATTGAAAAACCAGACGGTTTTACAACAGAATTTCTAAAATTCTTCTGGATAGACTTGAACAAATTCTTGATAAACTCGTTAAATTATACATATCAAAACGAAAATCTATCAGTTACCCAGAAACAAGGATTTATTTCATGCTTACCAAAAGAAAACAAACCAAAACTATTTTTTAAAAATTGGCGGCCAATTTCTCTTCTTAACACATCATATAAAATTGCATCAGCGGTTGTAGCTAATAGAATGAAGAAAGTATTACCACTAATAATAAATGATGATCAAAAAGGCTTTGTACCAGGAAGATATATTGGTGAGGTCACAAGGCTGATATACGATCTAATGGAGTACACAGAATCTTACCAAATACCAGGACTAATAGTTCTAATAGATTTTGAAAAGGCTTTTGATTCAGTTGACAGAAACTTTATACTAAATGTGTTAAGATTATTTAATTTTGGACCTAGTTTTCAGAAGTGGATCAGAACTTTTTTAGAAGATATGCAATCAAGTGTACTTGTAAATGGATTTGCTAGCACCTTTGTTCCTATTGCCAGAGGTTGTCGCCAAGGAGATCCGGTATCGCCATATATTTTTGTCTTATGCGCAGAAATTTTAGCTATACTTATCAGAAATAATAAAAATAAAAAGGTATTAAAAAGGGAAGTATTGAATATGTTCTTGCACAATTTGCTGACGATACTTCTTTATCTTTAGACGGCACTGAGAGTAGTCTATATGCCTTGATGAACATTTTATCCTTTTTTGCAAGGTTTTCTGGCTTGAAAATTAATGCTGACAAGACAAGACTGATCTGGATAGGTTCAAAGAAAAGATGTAGATATAAACTCTGTAAAGACTGGAACTTAGATTGGACTCAAAGTGACTTCAAGGTACTGGGTAATATGTTTGATGTAGACCTTGACAAAATGGTGAAATTGAACTACGATAATAAGTTCAAAAAGATAGAGAAGAAAATGAAATTATGGTCAATAAGAACACTTACTCCAATCGGTAGAAATGTTGTTTTGAAATCACTACTGCTTGCAAAATTAAACCACTTATTTTCCTCAATTCCATCACCCCCAGATGAAATAATAAATCAATTTCAACAAGCCTGCTTCAAATTTGTATGGAAAAACAAACTGGACAAAATTAAAAGAGACGTTTTAGCTATGCCACCTGATTACGGAGGATTTAGTGTCCCACTCATTAAGAATAATATTTATGCACATAAAATAGCATGGATAAAAACATTATATTCCAGTAACTGCAAATGGACAGCATTAGTGGATAACTGTATACCTAACTACGGAAGACTTTGGTTAGCTGATCCTGAATATTTGGAAAAACATATAAAACCATACATAAGAAATCCATTTTGGAGAGATGTAATCTCTGCATGGGGATCATATTTACAAAAGCATTATAAGACAATAAACCCAAATGACATGTTAAACCAAAGTATTTGGTTTAATTATATGTTTAGATATTGTATGATATAATACCCACAAATATTTTCTTAAATAGGATCGGTCTGAAGGTCACACCTTTATGTACATTCTGTTCAAAGGAACTAGAAACAATTGTCCACCTACTCTGTAATTGTTGTCATGTTAAAAAGCTTTGGGAGAGTTTGACCAGATGGCTAATGACTGTAACTGAAGGTAACATTGACTTTACACCAGAAAACATCTTACTTGGATTTAAAGGGAAAAACAATAATTCTTTAAATGCAATATGTCTTGTTGTGAAACAGGTAATATACACCAAAAAAATAAAAGAACAAGTTCCAAGTTTCAAGCATGTAGTAAGCGAGGTATCAAAATACTATGAAATTACAAAATATAATGCGTACTCTACATGCAGCAACAGTGAGTTTTTTACCTTCTGGTCATCTTTCCACAATCTATTTACAGAAAAATTGTGTTATGTCGAGAGTACGGAGCATCTGTTGTGTCATGTGGAGAGTAGGGAGCGTCTGTTGTGTTATGTGGAGAGTACGGAGCGTCTGTTGTGTCATGAGGAAAGTACGTTGCGTGTGTTATGTCATTGGGGAGAGTACGAAGCGTCTGTTGTGTTATGAAGAGAATACGGAATGTCTGTTGTGTCATGTGGAGTACGGAGCGTGAATTGTGTTATGGGGAGAATACGGAGCGTCTGTTTCTGTCATGTACTATGTACGTGGAGAGTAATGGAACCTCGTTGTGTTATGATGGAGAGAATACGGAGCGTCTGTTGTGTCATGTGGAGAGTACGGAGCGTCTGTTGTGTCATGTGGAGAGTACGGAGCGTCTGTTGTGTTATGTGGAGAGTACGGAGCGTCTGTTGTGTCATGTGGAGAGTACGGGAGCGTCTGTTGTGTTATGTGGAGAGTACGGAGCGTCTGTTGTGTTATGTGGAGAGTACGGAGCGTCTGTTGTGTCCATGTTGAGAAATTACGTTGAGCGTCTGTTGTGTTATGGGGAGAGTACGGAGCGTCTGTTGTGTTATGTTGAGAGTACGCGTCTGTTGTGTTATGTGGAGAGTACGGAGCGTCTGTTGTGTTATGGGAGAGTACGGAGCGTCTGTTGTGTTTATGGGGAGAGTACGGAGCGTCTGTTGTGTCATGGAGAGAGTACGGAGCGTCTGTTGTGTTATAGGAGAGAGTACGGAGCGTCTGTTGTGTTATGTTGAGAGTACGGAGCGTCTGTTGTGTTATGGGGAGAGTACGGAGCGTCTGTTGTGTTATGAGGAGAGTACGTACGTTGCGGAGCGTCTGTTGTGCAGGAGAGTACTGTTGTGTTATGGGGAGAGTACGGAGCGTCTGTTGTGTTATGTGGAGAGTACGGAGCGTCTGTTGTGTCATGGGGAGAGTACGGAGCGTCTGTTGTTGTTATAGGGAGCGTCTGTTGTGTCATGTTGAGAGTACGGAGCACCTGTTGTGTTATGTGGAGAGTACGGAGCGTCTGTTGTGTCATGTGGAGAGTACGGAGCGTCTGTTGTGTTATGTGGAGAGTACGGAGCGTCTGTTGTGTCATGAGGAAAGTACGTTGCGTCTGTTGTGTTATGTGGAGAGTACGGAGCGTCTGTTGTGTTATGTGGAGAGTACGGAGCGTCTGTTGTGTCAAGGGGAGAGTACGAAGCACCTGTTGTGTTATGGGGATCGTACGGAGCGTCTGTTGTGTCATGGGGAGAGTAATGCGAGATAAGTGTGATGTGGGGGTGTGATGTGTCTGTTGTGATGTTGGAGAATATGGCAAGCAATCTGTTGTACGAGAGAGTGATTTCAGCCATATTTATACAAGTCAGTACTTTCCCAATAGTCTCCAAGGAACTGATCGATGACTGTCATCAATTAAACAAGGACAAGTGTCGGCAAGTTTTGCAATGAACTATATGAACAAAGGGTCAGAGTTTGGACCTATTGCGGGATAGTGCCCATCTTTTGACGATCCCTGTAGCCTCCAGAGCGGTGCCCCAGCTGAGCGTGATTCCCAGGGCGCCATGGCCATAGTTATGGACCACCTGCAAATGTATGGAATACTAGCAGTTGTCTTGACTCCCTAATCAATGACACAAGAATCTTTTCTCAATGGAAAGCTCCAGAGGGTCATTCAACACATACGAAAGTAGCATTGAAGCATAGAAGACGCCAACGATATTGTGGTTGAGATTGTGTAAAATCTCGCCGATGCGTGCTCTGTTTCAGAAAAGGTGAATGAAAATACTTCTGGTAGTGCTAGGGCATAAACACAGAGAGACTGCGGATAATGTGACATGGCAAGCTCGTCCTGTCGAAAGAGGCGGGTGAAGAATCGGAGGTTCAGACTCTCTGACCTGGTCACTGCATTGTCTGCTCCAGACGTGAATCTTTACAGACCGCACTCATACAGGTCCAATTCTGCCGAGCGCGATGTTATACGCTAACAAACAAAAACAACAATAAGGTGCTTCAAAGATTAAATTTGTGTGGCCCGATATTATTTCTATTATGACCTGGACAGATGGACAATTGTGTAGGGTGAGCTACAGGTCTGATATACGTACCATTATATCTTTACCATTCCCATCAAGTACTTCCTGTTCAATCCGTATCGGAGTCCTTGTTGGGCGGAGACCTACCCAGTGGTCAACAACAGTTGCGCCCTGAATAAAAGAAGGTTTTAGATTAACGTGTCGTAAACTTGCAAGGAATGACACAAATACGAAAATACGATCTTGATAAATATTGCACAAAAGATTATGTCGATTACAATATACACCACTAAGATGAATTCATTACACAGCGGGGCGGTGGGGTAGACCAGTGGTTAAAGCGTTGGCTCGTCACGCCGAAGACCCGGGTTCGAATCCCCACATGGGTACAATTTGTGAAGCCCATTTCTGGTGTCCCCCGCCGTGATGTTGCTGGAATATTGCTAAAAGCGGCGTAAAACCAAATTCAGTCAGTCAGTCATTACACAGTAACATGAAATTCTATCAGGGTTGAAGACAGGTCAAAGTCACAGCTTATCAACTATTTGTAAACAGAGACGGTGTGAACTATTAGCGCCAATAGTTGTCTCGGTGGTTCTGTCCAGTAACCTGTCCATGTATACTCTAAAACAAGTAGGGGAACCTGAGCTTTCAAGTTGGATAGGAAGTATAAGCGTTAACACACATTTCAAAGACAGTTATCTTATAAATGCCCCGCCAATTATCTTTATCATCCCCTTACCCCGTGCACAATTAGCTTTATCATTTCATTCTTGATTTTGACAACGCTTTCACCGTTTTTTGTTTAATCATGTTGCAATCGCACAGTTGTTGAGGACATTTCAAAATGAAATTCGTCATACATTTCACGTCATACGCAAATCATCTTTGAAGAGCGATTACTAAACAAGAACCATGGTCATAAGGAAGTGAAAGTGGTGATGCACTGTCAAAACTTTTATTATTATCATATTATCATATTGATTGACTCCGATATATCTCCCAATTTTACCAATCGTAAATTAAAAATGAAGTTTTGAAGAGAAACATGCAAAAGGCATTCTGTCCAAATCAATCATGACATCGTCCAAATCTGTCAAGTATCTTACGTTGACGTTCATTTGGTATTCATTAATACGTCTCTAGAGGGTGTCCCTCCCATTTGTGAGAACTCCCATTTGTGAGACACATTAATTAATGGTTCAGTGCACACAGGTGGTGCTTCCCCATCCCTACGCTGAAAGTGGGAACAGCCCTGTTGCTGAAGAGTACCCGCAGGAGGCATAGTTCATTAATGAGTTAATTAACACAGAAGACATTGTTCATTGAAGAGCATTTATTGTTTTCAATAAAGAACAAGTTAAATACTGAAATACTGAAAAGATTATCATTATATTTACACAGAAGAAATAGTTCATAAAATATTTCATTATGATTTTTTATTCCCAATTTTGATGATTTGTTTGTGTGTCATCACGTAAATCTGAGTAGGTAAATTAATTTCTCTTTCAAATAATCACGAAGTTACCTACACAAAGTGTTTATTTTTTAAAGCCATTTACCTGAGTAGGTTAATTACTTTTATCTTTTAGGCTACCCCCACAAGATTCAGTTAAATAGCTAATCCCTAATTAGATGGGGTTAATCCATTCTATCAGATAGGGGAGTAAGGTGTGTTTTCTTTGCTACTTACCTTCTCCACTGTCTCACAACTGGGAGTCTCACAACTGGGAGTTCTCACAAATGGGAGTAGACCCTCTAGAGAGTCCAGAATGAACACAGACTCATTAGAATCACCATGTTTGATTTCCCACGTTTTCACGCCGTAAAAAGCATTGGAGTCTAGTGTCGTAGGCACTTTGATGGGGTATGGGTTTTATCGGGCAATATAGACATGTTTGTATATTCTCTGAGTTAAGTTAAAGTTGTGTTATCTAAATCTAAATCACAGTGCTGACAATATACATGAAATAATAGCAGCTTATTATCATGACCATCAGTACAGCCATGTACAGATCAGCTGCCTGCGTGTAATTACCCCTAATTAACTTTAGAGTATGGCCGGTTGTCCACGGAAGTTTAACATTATGGATGAGGTGCATGCTGGATAATACAGGACAGCCTGACAGTCAGTAGTATATAGACAATGAATTCTTTTATGTAACGGGACTGGACCCTCGGACAGCGGCTAGGCAGGTGGGCTGACGATCGCCTCTGTGATGCTGCCTGACCGTTGCTGCAATATCATGTAACTGCATATTTAGACGCCGAATAAAGTGTTGTGGACCCACTGATGGACTTCTGTGTTTGAAGAGACAATATCCCCAAAACCTTTAACCAGCCCGGGATACTAGTTAGAATGTGTCGATTGTCTAACTGTGATACAACACGTTGACTTGGGACAATATCTATATCTGGTATTTGCATCTTACCATAATATACTGCACCTCAATGAACACACAACGTAATTCGTCTACTTGAAGTGTCCGGTCATAGTAGAACGACTGTTAGACACGTGCAGTAAGTTGTCATAGAAGCACAGCGTAAGTTGTCAAAGCAGTACTATTAATCACCACATACAGAAAGTTGTCACATAGCAGTACCAGTATAACCAGGTGTAAGTGGATGTAGCAGTATCTTGTGTAATGAATAGAAAATGTCCTATGGAAGATGTCAAATGATAAAAATGTTATATGTGCGACTTCGATTCCTTCACAAAATCAAATTCTAGTACTTTTGGGGGTTGGGTCCCGGGATTCGAACCCACACTCTCTAAGTAAGGCACTTGGTCACCTTTTATAAACGTTAACCCAGCCACTGAGTATTCCATAAACATGGATTTGGAATTTGAGTCAACAGTAGTGACAGAGTTGTCTCCCTTCAATGCCATATCACTCACCTCAAGGGCAGGGACAATTTGTTTGGTTCGCCTGATGATGTCTTCAGCAAGATGGAGATCCGGTTCTAGATTCGTGTCTCCAACCTGTCTGCTCCCACCAAGGTTAACGACGTCAGAGCTGCAAATATATTTTAATGGGTGTCCTATACGAAGTAAATATATACTTATCTCCCTTTTACCACAGGAGTATGGCTCGCCACATTTCCTACAAGCAAAACAATGAATAAGAACTTGGGGACAAAATAAACATCAAATTGAATAGCTCCAGTTTAATTTATGTTCTTAAATGGCTGTTTGAGTAACTGTTATGTTTGAGTTAAGGCTGGTTATGTACTTTAATGTGGTCCTTAGGCCCGAAGCCGACTAAAAAACACTCGGACCCACAACTTTTGTTTTCTGCAGGTCCTTATGGAGGACAGCTTTTTCATCAACAATGACTAAGAGTATTATTACCACATTAAAATATGGGGCCACGCATTCTGATCTGGACCCACAAGTTTTTGTGGTTCTGGGTTACGTTCCACACAACTCCCACAGTTTAACTTAGACTTACGACTGTCGTAGCGCTACGATCGCTTTGAGGAACGGGACCCTGGGTCCTTAGGGCCTGCAGCGTTTCAGGGCAAACACTGGATAGGATAGGGATGGGGGGTTGGGCAAGATTGGTCTTTCGACTGTCATATTTAGCCGACCTCAGCTTGTCAGCTTAATGGCACGAAAATAATGTTTCCAGTATATTCTTCCGGAGCGAATCTGGGACTGTGACCCATGGCCACATGTTCGTGGCGACTACAGACGTTTTAGCAACAATGGGTAGACGGACAAGCGTGTCAGTAAAATACTCACTGTTGATAGATGTAAGGGTCAGTAACACAATGGGTAGACATTGCTATCAGTAACACCGTGGATAGGTGTACGTGTAACAGTACCCATGGTAGATGTCAGTACTGTTGTGGATAGATGTAAGGGTCAGTAACACAATTTAAGTAGACGTATGCATGCGTTAGTATTTCAACGTTGGTTAAAAGTATGTCGAATACTGTGGGTAGATGTGGGGGTTATACACTACGGGTATGCGTTCCTGTCGGTAACACTATCAGTATTGGTGAACTTGGGTAGACGTAGGTATCAGTAACATACTCACTGTGGGTAGACGTACGTGCTCACTCCATCCTTCGTCTCTGATGTGTAGAACATGTTGACCCAAGGAGCTCGGACCTGGAAGTGGATGACCAACGGTAACTATGGTGGCACCTCTCGAGACTTGAGTGTGGAAGTGTGAACTTTATGTGTCAGCGTTGTTCCAGCTTCATAACGACTGTATGTACAGTCAAACACCGCTGTGTCGAACGTATTCCTTTTATCGAACCCGGGTCTTCGGCATGACGAGCGAAAACTTTAATCACTAGGCTACCCCATCGCCACCACAGCAAGTTATTCAATGTTCCACATCATAAGTATCTCCTATAAATTCATTGTTCCAAGCACTTTCAACAGTACGGTCGATCAAACTCGGGTGTTTCAAATCCCCGGTTCTGTTAAACCCACAGTCTGGCCCCGGAAACTCGTACTATATTTACCAACATTTGAAGTGGCATATGTTGAAATGGAACTCAGGTCGGGGCCCTAACAGTTATAGATAGAAACTAACAGGCCGAATTAAAGGCAATAAACGACATAACGTAGCACAAGGTCCAGTTTGTATGATTTGATTGAAAGAAAACCCCACACGTTACGTTGCAGTCTGTTTTATGGCGTTACTAAGGCCGAGTCGGGTGTGTCGAATCACGGATAAGTCCCACTATCTAACTGAACCCATGAATTCGAGAGAACGGGTTTTGACTTAATTTCAGTGCATTCGGTTATGTGAACATGTAGGATTGTGTGAACCGAGTGGTAGCCTACCTTGACCAGCTGGCCTCTGACGGCGTGGATGTTGGAGTCACCAACCAGCTGCCTTGCACCGAGACCGCAGCAGTTCACCACGGCCTCATAGACTCCGCACAACTGAAATATACGGCAACAGTCAATGTGACGTAAGAGTAATACACTGAACAAATATCAACACGTCGAAGATATAAATAATGAAGACGAAAGAACACACTGAAGAAAGGGCAATCCAAAGAACACAGAAACACATTGGAGACACTTCCACACACTGGAGACACTTCCACACACACGATATACTTCGACACAGTGGATACACTTCGACACACTGGATACATTGGACACACTGGCGTCAAAGCCACATGTTGAACACATAGGGTACATTCAACTCACAGCAACTAAAGAGAACGGAATACATTCAACACAAGGTAACATATAGAAACCTATCAATACATTCAACTCACAACACATTAAAGACAACGAAATACATTCAACACAAGGTATCATATAGAAACCTATCAATACATTCAACTCATAGATTGAAAACAACGAAATACATTCAACACAAGGTAACATATAGAAACCTATCAATACATTCAACTCATAGATTGAAAACAACGAAATACATTCAACACAAGGTATCATATAGAAACCTATCAATACATTCAACTCTCAGCAACAGTTTGAAGACAAGGGAATACATTCAACATATGGTAACATATAGAAAACAAATGGATACATTCAACTCACAGCAACACATTGAAGTCAAGGGCATACTCTCAACACACGGCAACATACTGAAGACAAGGGAATACATTCAAGAAATAGTAACATATTGAAGACAAAGGAATATATTCAACACACGGCAACATATTGAAGACAAGGGAATACAGTCAACAAACAGCAACATATTGAAGTCAAGGGAATACATTCAAAATATATGAACACATTAAAGACACAAGAATGCATTCAACACATAGCAACACATTGAATGGAATACCGACATCAGCAGTAACACATTGGGGGCAGAGAACTACATTCAACATGTTGGTACACATTAAGACAAACGAATACACTAAAGCCATAATATCTCTTAAAAGTTTGGAATTTTTAAATACCTTGGAATTTTATACTATAATGAGTGAGTGAGTTTAGTTTTACGCCGCACTCAGCAATATTCCAGCCATATGGCGGCGGTCTGTAAATAATCGAGTCTGGACAAGACAATCCAGTGATCAACAGCATGAGCATCTATCTGCGCAATGGGGAACCGATGACATGTGTCAACCAAGTCAGCGAGTCTGACCACCCGATCCCGTTAGTCGCCCCTTACGCAAAGCATGGGTTACTGAAGGTTCATTCTAACTCGGACCTTCACGGGTCTTATACTATAAACATCATTAAAGAACTTTGTAACATCTAGACATTTTCTCTAAGACCAATCTCATCTCATTTTCGTAAAAGAAATGTAATGGATACCATTACGACATATATCCTAATTAGTTATAGTTTGTCTTGTAGTTGCAGTCAGGTTGTAAAAGCTTGGGATATGTCGCATGTCGCATGTTTTAATGCAGTTTTATTTTTGGTTTATATTTACCTTTGTAAGTAATAAACTGTTTACAACTGGAAGCGAGTAGTTGTAGGAATTTACTGATGCTGTTAAAACTTGAAGCGGGGAATTGTAGGAATTTACTGACGCTGTTACAACTTAAAGCGAGTAATTGTAGGAATTTACTGATGCTGTTACAACTTGAAGCGAGTAATTATATGTATTTACTGATGCTGTTACAACGTGAAGCATGTAATTGTAGGTATTTACCGATGCTGTTACAACGTGAAGCATGTAATTGTAGGTATTTACCGATGTTGTTACAACGTGAAGTAAGTAATTGTAAGTATTTACCGACGCTGTTACCACTTGAAGCGAGTAATTGTAGGTATTATCGACACTGTTACAACTGGAAGCGAGTAATTGTAGGTATTTACTGATGCTGTAACAACGTGAAGTAAGTAATTATAGGCATTTACCTATGCTGTTACAACGTGAAGTAAGTAATTGTAGGAATTTACCGACGCTGTTACAACTTGAAGCGAGTAATTGTAGCTATTAACCGACGCTGTTACAACTTGAAGCAAGTAATTGTATGTATTTATCGACGCTGTTACAACTTGAAGCGAGTAATTGTAGGAATTTATCGATGGTTTTACAACGTGAAGTAAGTAATAGTAGGTATTTACCGACGCTGTTACAACTTGAAGCGAGTAATTGTAGGCATTTACCGACGCTGTAACAACGTGAAGAAAGTAATTGTATGTATTTAACAATGCTGTTACAACTTGAAGCGAGTAATTGTAGGTATTTACCGATGATGTTACAACTTGAAGCGAGTAATTGTAGGAATTTACCGACACAGTAAAAACTTGATGCGAGTAATTGGAGGTATTTACCGACGCTGTTACAAGTTGAAGCGAGTAATTATAGGTATTTACTGACGCTGCTACAACTTGAAGCGAGCAATTGTAGGTATTTACCGACACTGTTACAACGTGAAGCATGTAATTGTAGGTATTTACCGACGCTGTTACAACTGGAAGCGAGTTATTGTAGGTATTTACTGATGCTGTTACAACGTGAAGTAAGTAATTATAGGCATTTACCTATGCTGTTACAACGAGAAGTAAGTAATTGTAGGTATTTTCCGACGCTGTTACAACTTGAAGCGAGTAATTGTAGGTATTTGCCGATGCTGTTACAACTTGAAGCGAGTAATTGAAGGTATTTACCGACGCTGTTACAACTTGAAGCAAGTAATTGTATGAATTTATCGACGCTGTTAGAACTTGAAGCGAGTAATCGTAGGAATTTATCGACGCTTTTACAACGTGAAGTAAGTAATAGTAGGTATTTACCGATGCTGTTACAACGTGAAGTAAGCAATTGTAGGTATTATTGTAGGTATTCATATCATAAACTCTTGTTAAAAACAATATAAGCAATTTGTTATCATGACATTTACTTAAAGAAAAACAGAATATATAATAAGATTCATTGTTTTATTTTCTCAACATGAATATGAATTAGCATTTAAGGCAAATAAAGATCATACATATAACTAGTAATATAGCACTAAAAGAACAGGGCAAAACATTTTGGCATAACTCAATCCAGTTTAAGAAATCATATATCATTTATAACAAAGTAGTAATTTTTCATCAGTTAAACTTTCATTCACTTATTATCTTGAAATAGCATGTTAGATATGAAATTTATTTCTAAAATCATGCTAATGGTGAAAAATAACATTAACATACAACTTAACACAGTAATAAAACATAGCTGCATCGGACATTTATTTGCACGCCTTGGCATTCAGCCACACACTCTATGTCACAACTATCGCCAAACAGCCACTATGATATACATCATACAATAACACAACATACAGCTTACAATACAAAAATAAAATAAAAATTACATTATGAAATTGAAAATAAATTCAATTATATTGCAAGAGTTGGTCAGTTAGCCCAATAAGGGGCATCCCTGGGCGGAGATCCCTCCGGTTGATTGGATGCCTCATCCTCGTCCTCACATTGGCCATGACGAGAGCAGTGGAGGTGTAGATTCTTTCCAAGTCCAGTGTCGTCGTGTATCCCCTAAGCTTGCTGGACTCCCAGACAAAGAGGACGGAATGCAACTAATTGACGTCATCTTCGTCACTCACGACTGGTGATGTCATGTCTATGGTGAGTGTTGTCGCTACCTTTTTCTTTCGTCTATCTGGCCAATCGATAGATGCAAGTCTGTTTAGGCGTTGTGCAAGTTTCTGAAAATGGCAGGTAATAACGAATTACTAGGTTATTTTGATAAATTTCCCAAACATCAATCAACAAGAAACTGACAATGCCAAGGATGATTTAAAATGAGTAATCCAAAACGAAGTTTGAATAAAAGAGAACTAAATTGAACAATCACACTTTGCACTAGTTTTCTCAAAACTCAAATTATGCAATTCATCACACTTCATTGACCGAATGAAATATCTTTTTTTCTAAAGAGGACACACAATCTATACAAAATTTGCTCTGAAGTTACATGCTTCCCAGTCCAGAGGTAGTAATACGTTATATATATATATATGAACATTAATTGCATTTTCTATATAGTAATAATGATACTAGTAATAGATTTTCATCAAATTGCTATATTCAATCTCTTACAGTTCGTATTGAGCCCATTTCTTGTGTCCCCCGCCATGATGTTGCTGGAATATTGCTAAAAGCGGCGTAAAACCAAACTCAGTCAGTCGTATTGTGGAAGGCACAAGTATATTCACCCAGTAGTAACTGTCTGTTTACACCATTAAGTCTTTGAGGTGTATTTAGAAATGAATAATGCAAGACATAAATGTTTACGGATGTCAACGTCTTTAGTATGTGAAAACACAATGTTTCGGAGTGAATGCTTACACCTGACGAAGGGGTAAGCATTCACTCTGAAACATGTTTTCACATAATAAAGGAGTTGACATCCATAAACCTTGTCTCTACACTATTAATTGGAAATTATTTACTATTTATAATGAAAGTCACTACAGATAGGTCAAAATTACCTTCACATGTTACTGCTGACCATCCTTGATCATTTGTTATACAGTCTCCAGACTCATCATCAGCTTTGCTGAAAAAAATAAACAATAACACGTTACTTTTCTTTGCATTTCCCCATTCATTCATTCGAGTTTTAAAGAAACCCTTAAACCTGCAGCGACATTTATACCAACAAGCAAACTACAGATTTATCACTTTAGGTTACGCAATCAGTAAGTGAACGGCCTGACATAAACATCCTGATGAATGAAGTTTAGTTATCTCATGTGACATAACCTTGGAGTAATTACGGTATTGTAAAATCAAGGGGTCAGTTTGACTGCAATTTCACACAGGTGTGAAGTTAAGATTTATTTGGTCCAATTTGAAATCAAGATTAAGTTACCGGTTATTCAAATCCATTTGCAAATGTAACTTTAGTATGGTTCATTTTGTGAAAATGTATCTAGGGAAGCATAATAATAAAATATTCAAAGTGAAATTATGTCTGTTTCGTAGTACCATAAACACATACCTTCAGTAAGAGAGGGTGATCTTTTCGTCCAGGAGTAGTCGTGACACATGTTTCCTCACAACAGCCTAAATGAATAAAACAAATCTATTAATATATAATCTATTTGCTATATTTTTCAAAATTGTAGTATATTTTTAGATAGACTTATTTTACTTCACCAACCTTAGTACGAGCAAAACAGTTTATTCAGTCATGGGACTTACATATACGTCCGTCGGCAAAATTCTCATAGACTTGCATGCTGTTTTAGTGTAGCTGTGTAATTTTCATTAATTCAGTTTTCCATATTTGGTTGTCAAATTTTGCAGGTTGTTAGGAAATCATCTTGGTCACAGATACATAATTTTCCGCATTGTAGTTACACGAGCAACATATATTAATTAACAACATTGCGTATTCTTTCCCCATAGACCACCATGTAAAAAATTGCCATAACCATGACACGCACTGAATTGAAAATAAAACGGAAATTATGTCTTTGAAGCTGAGATGATTCATGACCCATGTGCAAAATATGAACACTATCAAACGGATATTAAATAAATTCAAGACATATTTCTAGCTGCACCAAATTAACATGTAAGTCGAATAATGCATAGTGACGAATACCTATGGCCGGTGGCTGTAATTCGATAGATTAGCTTGTTTACCAATCCAGATTTCTGTACGTAAAGTAAATAATTCATTAAACGTTATTTGACAACAAAATAAATTGGTCTTACCTGACAGGGTCGGTGGTACTGCGAGTTTTTCGCAGCCATTTCCATCTTTCTTTTCAGGTAGCGAATTCTCTCTTCCAGTGCTTTGAGGGAAACTGAGGCGGCTATGAAAATGGCGTCTCGCAAAGACTCACGGGAAAAACACTTTGTTGTTGTTTTTTAATCTAAATCTAGCATTACAGTTTGACAATATCTTTCCGCGTTATACAACAAAATAAACATACACTATACACCTAAAATGTCAGCTGTGTGTTTTTATAATAATTTAGGTAGTCTCGCGTGGACGTGATCCTGTCGCCATTGTTTTATTTGTTTACATTGCCGACATCTAAGGGGACCGTGAAAGGTGGAAATGAGCAGATTGAATGTGAGTACCCAGAGTGACAACAGTGGGCTGTTATGGGCTTAAGGGTCTTTTCATCGGATTATGGGCACTAATTGCTCCTCCTCAGTGTCAAGCATCAACATGTAGGCCTAGAGATAATTAACAGTGAATAAATCTGAAGACATATTCACGTTACTTTAATAGTCCTGGGTGCCGACCACTAACCGAACTTATCTAAGATCAATCTTAGCAAGTTACGCCAATCGTACAATCGTCTTAGCTAAAAGTTCCACTAACCGTTCCACTAACCGATTTTAGGCCGATTGTAGCCGGTCCCGATCTTACGATCCGATCCAAGCTTAGATCGAGACTCTTTCGTGCGAGAGATAGAGGAATGCGAGGCACGAGTTATCTCCCTTTGCATAGTCTAGCAAATGATGGAAGTAGTTTACGAACCAACTGAGTGAGTGAGTGAGTTTAGATTTACGCCGCACTCAGCAATAGTCCAGCTATATGGCGGCGGTCTGTAAATAATCTATCTAAGATGCATAGCGTTCACTAACATGAGCGTTCATGTTACTGAACGCTATGTATCTTAGCTATCGAGTCTGGACCAGACAATCCAGTGATCAACAGCATGAGCATCGATCTGTGCAGTTGGGAACCGATTACATGTGTCAACCAAGTCAGCGAGCCTGACCACCCGATCCCGTTACTGGCCTCTTACGACAAGCATGGGTTATTGAAGTTCAATATTCTAACCCGGGCCTTCATTGGTATTTTTCCAACCATGTGTAAACGTGGCGAAAAAAGCTAGAGCAAAATATTAGGGTAGTGAACACCTTGGTTTCAGGTGCAAGTGCGTGTGAACGCTGGGTATCAGGCATAATATAATAATAATAAATGCATATTTATAGTGCGCCTATTCCACATCCTGGGGCATGCTCAAAGCGCCATGTACAGATAATTTACACGAGAGTATTTACAGCCGAGATTATAAGTAATAAACTGAGAACAGGTTTTAAGTCTGGACTTTAAAAATGTCAATTGTGTCAGAGCTTTTAATATGTGCCTGAATAACACGCGGCCTGCCTTTAGAATCTCCCACCAAATATGCGCAGTTAAATCAAACATATTTGTATCTTTTTGCTTCAGAACATTGTTCACTTCACGGCTGTCACTATTCTTAACCATGACGTTGCAATATTGTTGTACAAACGTGTTACACCGACTCGCTCGGTTGTGTTCCCATGACGACAGTGGTCAGACTGGCCTGACATTTGTAAGGCTTCAGTGCAGTGTTTGTTTACATCACAGAAACATACAAATTCATTTCATGGGGGATTTTAGGGGACGCTCACGGTGAAATGCTCGCTCTTATTTTTCACATAGAATAGGAAAGCCACCATTTTGGTTTCCCTGCGATTGATTTTAGCTATCCTAAGTTGGTCATGAGCAACTTAGACTTTGAATCTTAACTTTACGATTGACTTGGGTAAGATTGGTTAGTGGAACGGTATGCCGATTGTAACGTCACGCTAAGATTGGGATTTTAGGGGTTTACGATTGGCGTAGGGCTAAGATCGGTTAGTGGAACGGCACCCTGATCGAGCTTCATGAGTCCTACTCGTGAGAACTTGTGTTAGTGA